CTGCAAAGTGTTTGTCTAGGAGCTGCTTAAATTCCGACACTGAGTTCGCCTCTACTACCTGCTGCGGCAGGTCGTTCCAGGTATTCACCACTAACCGTTCGAAACAGAGTTAGTGAGCGACCCGCTTCAACTGCGGTACGATAAGTTTGTACCGGTGTCCTCTGGCGTGCAGCTTGGTATGCGCAGATGAAGCAGTTGTCTCAACATGGGGTAATCACTCAAATGTAATATCCGGTGCGTCATGATGAGGTCAACCCTCAGCCGACGATATGCTAGGGCGTATAGCCCTAGTTTCTTACATCGGTCTTCGTATGGCATACCTCGTAAGTTTGGAATCAGCCTGGTGGCTACATGCTGTACCCGCTCAAGCTTTTCTACCTCTCCCAGCGTGATGGGACAATACGCGGGAGATCCGTATTCTAGCATTGGTCGTATTATCGACACGAAGAGGCGAGTAGCAATCCCTTCGGACCAAGTGCTGAAGCTGCACCTGAGCGCCCAAAGCATCCGAAGGCTGTTTTGGTACAGCCTATTCGTGTTGTCAATGGACTTTAGGTCGCAGCGTGAGAGCACACCGAGGTCGCGCACGAAAGACGCGGGATGCAGCGGTTGACCAGCCACTGTGTACATTCGGCTGTGCTCACACTTACCCAACCTCATAAATTGCGACTTAGCAGGGTTGATCGGAAGGTTAACCTCTGCAGGCCATGTCGAGAGGCTGTCGAGATCCTGCTGAAGTAAATCACAATCATTGAGTGTGCGGATTACTCTCCACACCTTCAAGTCATTTGCGAACAACGCACAAGGTGATTGGAGTAGCTGAGGCACATCGTTTACATGGATCAGAAACAATACCGGCCCCAGTACAGTGCCTTGGGGCACGCCGCTGCTCGATGGATACCAGTCCGTTAGATGGTTGTCCACCTGGACTCTCCATTTTCGATCAACAAGGAAATTTCTGATCCATTTGTGCAGTGAACCACCAACACCGTACATCCTCAGCCTGTCAAGAAGCACTGCATGGTTAACCTTGTCAAAAGCCTTACTGAAGTCAATGTAAATGACATCGACCGATTGGCCTTGGTTCATCGCTGGTAACCATTCGTGCCTCGTCAACAATAGGTTGGTGATGCACGAGCGACCTTTCATGAAACCATGCTGTGCGGAGGTCAACAGGTTTTTCGACTCGAGAAGCTACAGAAGGTTCTTCTTCACGATCTTCTCCAGCGTCTTTGCCAAAACAGCAGTCAGGCAGATCGGCCGGTAGTTATCCACTTTACTTGGGTTACCACCTTTCGGTATGGGCCTTACGACTGAACATTTCCAGTCGTCTGGTAACAGTCCAGTGAATAGTGACCTGTTAAACAGTTCAGTTACAGAAGGCGCGATGATGGCCGATAGGGACTTGAGGATCAATGGGCGTATACCATCTGGCCCAGCAGGCTTCGTCCCGTCAAGATTTGCTAGAAGCTTGCGTACATCCTCAATATTGCAGTCCAGGCTGTTAAGTTCGGCTGGAGCGGTACTCGTCGAACTCGTTACAGACACCAGGCCAATTGCAAATACGGAGGCGATCTCATTCGCTAGGCATAATATAACTCTTTTTGCGGCAGGATAGCTGCCTTTTAGCTCCATGGAACGAAGTCAATCCGTTACTGGGGACTCAGCCGGCGTGCCACTGTTGTTTACTTTTTCTTCTGGTCTTCAGTATTACGGCATAATAGCTGAGGTGTTTTCCAACTGCAGCTAACGTGTATAATGTTGATGATGATTCTGACGGAAGCAGTGTTACTGCTGAACAATGTGACCAAAGTCGTCTAAACAAAACATGAGTGTTTCGGCAATGATAGCTTCCATAACGTTTGAAAGAACTGGCAGAAGAGTCATTGGTCGATAATTGGCTGGCTCGGAATGACTAACCCTTGGTAAATGGGGGTTATTATCCCGTGTTTCTACATTGCAGGAACGCGCCTCTCATCAAGAAAGTACTGGAATAGCCGAAGTTGTGCAAAACTAAAGGCTCTTGTGCAAGCGCTCGTCTTGCCATGGCCATGCGGCAACTCCTCAGCGTCGGAAACTGGCGGCAGTCGAGTGCGACACTCTTCGTGCCATCGGCTGCCGTGACGCCTGTCGTCAGTTGATCGACTAAACCATCAATCGAATGTAGCAGAATTGTTCAAATGTTCCCGAGTCACCTATTCTTAGTCCGGCTTTCATTGGCTTACTGTGTTGCGTTGTTGTTGCATGCTTATAACTTCATCAACCTGAGGAAAGGTATTGAAAAGATATTTCTTCGCAACCTTCAGTTTATAGATGCTTGTGTCTGATTTGGTACAATCAAGAGTTCTTATTTTTATCGATTTTTCGCAGACTGCATTCATACATCTTCTAGCGTACTATGCAGTACAAGCCTGGTAACCAAGCAGAAGTGTGACCACATCGTTTTAAGGATTATACCGCATCACCCTACGAACAACGACCGATACCAGAGTTCGCGCGCGAACCGTATAATGTACAGCAGAATTTAAACAACCCTATTCATGCGTGCTAACGCTTATTGAAGCTCAGCGTAAAAAGCAATCCCAGAGGCCACAATCATCAGCCGGCCGTATCCACGAACACCGCGGATTTTTGAATTACCGTGTGCCGGATTCCACCTTTGCTTCGGGATTACTGTGCTATACGTGTTATTCTGTGTGATTTGTCCATCTATATTTTTCTTTTGGGGTATTTTTTAATCTGTGTAAAGTGGGTGGATATTCACTTGCTACTATCGGAGATCGCATTGATTGGCCCAACTGCCGCCATCTTGGATTTGTTCTACTTGATGATGCTGTCTCAAGCTACTTGTGGTTCGTGTTCGAAAGTTGTTGGACATAAGGCTCATGCACTTCGGTTGAGATGTTTTGTTCCATATTTCGTGCATTGGCTTATCCGTTGACATTCTTCGAAAATATCCCGACATTCGACATCGGGTTTTTCCAGGTTATATATATGAGAAATGTCGCTGTTCAAGACATCAAAATACACAGCGACTATAGGAAAACCTCTCTTACAAGAGAAAACACACAGCTTACCTCGTGGGGTCAAACACCCTCGTGTAAGTATCTCTCTCATCTCGCCTTCCCATGCCACTCCGTGATCTGCACCACCACTAGCGTCTTCGACCCCGGCCGAGTCTCAGGTTCAATGTTCCCCACAGATTAAAGACTCATATTCGGAACCTCCGAAATGCCGCTGCACTGATTGGTCCGTGAATTTCTCAGATCATCGTCATTATCATCACCAATACACGTTAGCTGAAGGTGAGAAACACACCTCACCGCTAAAATGACTATTGGAATCGGGTAAACGCAACAGGTCCTCCAACCGATGCGCGTAACTACGCACTCGGCATCTTGTTTGGACCTGATGTTTACTAGCTGCGAGCCGAATCTGAAAGGGATCAGAGTTCTCGAACCTCAAGCAAACAGTGACTACTGTTCCATTGCGGCAAGCAAAGAACTGCCGTTACCGTATCACAACCAAGGGAAGACGACATTCAACTATTGGAAGAGGGACTTTAACGGACTCGTCCAAACCGCAAGTCAGACTGATTGGACACTGCCACAGGATGCGGCGCTAGAGGCCTGTTGGTCATTAATGAAGTGGTAGCTTAACTCGCTCTGTACTCGGTTCGATCCCTGAAGTATTCAAAAGTCGGACCTGTCAAACCGCATTGGTTTGATAACGAAGTGCTCTCGCGACATGATAAGAGATCACTAGAAAATACAGAGAAATCGTGCCGTGCGGGACTTCGTATGCTCTGGACATTACGACGCAGTTCCTCCACATGGTCCGAAGAAACTGTCCCTCACCTATTCACCTCGCTCATCAGACCAAACCTTGAATACGGCGCTCCCAGTGTGTAATATCCGATAACCCAGCGGGAAACGGAAAAGCTGGAGAAAATACAGTACATCGCAACTAAAATGATACCCAGTCTACGAAAACTTCCGTATGAAAAACCATGTGAAAGGCTCGGACCCTACACACTATCCTATCGCCCAGTAAGAATTGACCTTATGATGACCCATCGAGTAGTACACTTGAATCAGTTCCCCATACTGCGGTCAATATTTCACCTGCGGGAACCCCGTAACATCTGAGGACACCGTTATAAGCTCAGGGTCCCCTACACGAACAAGGTATCACATCAGCTTTGTATAGAAAGAAGAATACACTACCGGGAGGAATAATAGAAGTTGGTTTTGTGAAGCGTTTCAAAACACGTATCGACGATTATTTTGGATAACTCTGGTTTTGTGAAACGGTGAACATACAACGCAAAATATAAATCCTATACCCGGAAATAATGACACCAATAAGAACTACTAACCGAATGAGAGGAAACGATTAACTGGCCTAACACTGCCGCTGACTATCCGCAATTAAATGTTTTGGATTTTTCATAAATCGATAGTTGTACAGAAACTGGACTTGCTCGCAAGTACAGTCTCAGTCTAATCAACAGCACTACATCAACAATTTGACCTAAGTCTTAGCTACCGTAAAACCATAATGACCTAAGGAACGCGGCTTAATAAGTAGATAAGAGGGAGCCTAGTGGAAAACTTGAACGCCCTGTGCAAACATTCAGGGTCAAGGCTCCTACCCCTTGTGACAACAACATGCCGTCAGAGACAGCTGAGCATTATGCAATGATGAATCAGTATCGGCAATGGAGATTCCTTGCGGTTATCACAGCCCCGCCAATACCCAGCGGATAACTAGGCACCAAAAACATTTTGAACAGGTAGTCCGACTACATGAGGAGCCTTGCTACACTGTACATCTGGCAAACAAATTAGAGCCCTCCTCGATAAGCGGTAATCGTGCGCTTGTTCAAACTAGTGCAACTTATTCAATGTTATTGGTTGTGCCAAGAAACTAAAATGATTATCACCGTCGTGATCTATGGTAGAGGTCGGTTGGTGGCCGAGTGGTCTACACACCTGGGTTGTAATCATATGGTCACCCGTTCGAATGCGCATAGGAGCGGGCATCCTCGCGGTATACTCAGCCTACGCGCGGCAGCAAAGCGCCATTAAGGCGTACAGCTAACGAGATACTCATTTTTATAACACACAAACGGTGGATTATTTGATAAAGTACTGAAAGGGTAGCTGAAGTGTTGGCAATAACGAAACGGTAGATCAGCATCTACATTTGGAACTGGGTCAAGGTCGATAACCTGGAGGAACGCGAGATAAAAGAAATTCCATAACATTACTCAGGGAATTAGTCCATAATTCAGATTCTTTCTTTGCATACGGTCCAGCAGGGCGAACCATGTCTTAGCAGTTGACAGCAATTGGAAACATTTACAATTTTGCGAGCAGAATTGAAAGCGATTAGGCTTCTTAAGGCAAAGATACCAAGATTGATCCACCAAAGTGGAGAATGGTTTACAGTAATGCACAGTGTGCATCAAGTAGTAGCGAGCACATGTCCGCACACGTTTATGTTGGTCGTAATACTGGAGTATGGTCAGCTTCGCTCGGGAAGGAGACAATACGGAAAGGCCGTCACGTGCTCTGATGAAATAACAGCAATGGGCAAAGAAACCAATGGGATGGAAAGCCACCGAAACCTGATGAATGAAAAGGGTGCACCGGTTGTGTTCACAGAGAAGTCAAGATACAAGAAAGGAAGGATGACAGGAAGTAGGTGAAGTTGGAACTGAGAAGACAACTTTGAGATAACTAGACGCGCATAATGTGCAGTTGGGAATGTTTGACAGAGTTACCTATCAAGTAGCAGTTCTTCATTCTTCCACATGTATTTCATCTAAATGGTTTTTTTGCATTCGGGATTGCACGATTTGAATGTCGCAAAGAAGAGATGGTGCTACGAGTGTAGCCAGAACGAATTGAGCGCCCTAAAAACAGAACGAAAAATCGAAATAAGTAATTGTCAAGTATTGATTATCTATCGGAGTAATTCTATACAAGATTTCCAATTGTGCCTGGCCCGTGATGCAAGCGTCATGCGTTAGCTAAGAACCGACCACTGTGAATTCATGCATTCTCGCCAGCCGGGAATTCAGTAACTCATGTGTCGTACGCTACTGCAAGGTACAAGACGACGGTGGGTATGCAAGATGTGCAACTACGCATTCCGTTTAGGATCCGACAGAAGTAAAGGCGTTAATTGCTGTGGATTGGCTTTATAAAACCGTTCAGAGAGACAGCCTCACCTACACCACATACAGATGAGTTACTTCCGGACGTAGTTTGAATCGTTCGCCGGCCTGTCGACTAAACGACCGGGAAACAATTTGAAGAATAGGGACAAAGTGAACCGCTAATAATAAATTGTCGTGCATTTCATGCAACAGAGTGAATGACATGCTTGAATTTAGTTGAATCAGCATCGCTAATTTAGACAATAATTGCAGCGTTCTTGCGGATGACTCGATGCGTAACTACACCACTCCCACTTAAGTGCTATCGGTGAGAACAATACCGTTTGAGGGCTATGATATGGACACAGAGTAAGAACAGGGTTGGGAGCATCAAAATACAAATAAAAAAATGCATGCGCCTTTCGTCCAGCATGGTGGAAGGAAGAGATGAGGTGAAGGATTATCGCATAATAATGTAGCGACGCCTCGCTACGCTACACACTAACGCATTGTGCCATTTAAACTGGTGACGAAATGTTTGCAACAAATTTGCCAATCTCGCAAAACAGTTCGCCTAAAAAACGGATAACCTGAGCTACCTACGTTTACTCCTATATCAAACCGTACACTTATCCGGGAAAAGGTAAAAACATAAAGGAAAGTATGTAATGGTGACTGAAAGCTGAGGTGAAAGGAATCGCCTACCCTGTGCGGTCGATTGAGCGGACGAACGAGATTTTAACCACCCAGCTAATCGTACTTCGCCTCAGAGTTGAGAGTACAGCGTTTTGGTGGCGTTTTTGGCTACGTTGGCGGGTTTTTTGTTAATACGTTTTTCGTGGTCAAGGTCGTTGGAATTTTTATTTTTCTTCGGCTGGGCTAGAATTTTTGCGGAGACATTTTTGGGTGTTTAATTCGGAATAGCGAGAAAAAGTGAAGATCTAAAAATGTCGACGGACAAGCACGAAAATGTTACAAATTTTTCTGCCGAACGTTTTTAAAAGCTGTTTCTTCAGCAACAATCCCAGATGGAAGCACAAATGAAACTGATTGAAAGTTTAACGCAGTGCTTGAACGTACAGTCAAACGGAGCAGCCACACGGGACACACAGGCTGTTTCACTAGATCTTCTTACGAATGCAATCACTGAATTTCATTATGATGCTGATTCCGAATGCACTTTCGAGGCGTGTTTCAAACGCTGGGAGGACATGTTCCGGGCGGATTTCAGCTGTCAAGATAATTCATGGCAAGTGCGGTTTTTGCTCCGCAAGCTCGGTACTAATGAACATACAAGATTCGTTGACCACATCTTGCCCAAAGAGCCGAAGGACATCACTTACAACGAAACAGTGGCAACGCTCATAGAAATTTTTGCTGAGTCGACCTCTTTGTTTAGCATTCGCTATCAAATTGTTAAGCGTGATACAGACGATTATGGGGCACTAGAAGACATGGTTAACCGTGAATGTGAACGTTTCAAGTTACGCTGTTTGACGGATGACCAGTATAAGTGTCTCATATTTGTCAGTGTTTTACAGTCTCCACGCGACGCGGAAATCCGCACTCGGCTCCTTGCTAAGTTGGATCAAGGTCTAGATTTGACACTGAAGTCTCTTGCAGGCGAATGCAAACGGTTTATTACCTTGAAACACGACACCGCTATGCTTGAGCAGAGTCGCCCCACCATTGCCGATGCTGTTCATGCTGTGCAAAAAGCAAGAAAGGCTGGTTCGAACAAGTGGTTCAACAGAACGCCGAACAAGCCGTCTACACCTTGTTGGTCAGGTGGTGAATGGCATTTCGCACGATACTGGCCATTCAAGCGTCACATTTGTGATAAGTGCCATAAACTCCTTTGCCATCAGTCCCAGCCAAGAAACCTGAAGCACTCCCACCGACGAAAGAACTTCAGGAAGCCTGACCCAAGATCACTATCGGTGATTGCCACGTTTCACAGCGATTCTAGAACACACACGACGATTTATCAATGTGCCTATCAACGAAATCGCAACCCGGCTGCAGTTCGATACGGCATCAGATATATCGGTCATTTCCAAAAACACTTGGAAGCACATAAAGAGGCCGAAAATGGTTGATTCCAACAAAGTCGCCCACAACCCATCCGGTGGAGTGTTGAAGCTGCTCGGAGAAATAACTTGCAAAGTTGCGTTCAACAGAGTGGAACAGGCCGGAGCCTACTGCTTGTCTGACCGACCAAACTTAAACCGCCTTGGGCTTGACTGGATGGAAAAGTTACAAATGTTTGATGTTCCAATGCGTCAGCTTTGCAATAGATTCCAAACCAACCCAGTCCATGCATCATTGTCGATAGAAGACATGACGAGAAAGCTAAAGCAGAAGTTTGCCTCCTTGTTTGAAGATGTTCTCGGTAACTGCAGTAAGTTCAAAGCAAAGTTGGGCCTTCGCAAGGAAACCAAGCCAATTTTCAGATCATAAAGACCGGTACCGTATGCAGCCATGGCAGCAGTTGATCAGGAGGTTGACAGACTGGAACGAGCCGGTGTCATCACACCAGTGAACTACTCTTCAGGGACTGCGCCGATTGTCGTTGTGAGAAAGCCGAACGGTAAAGTGCGTGTCTGCGCCGATTTTTCGACTGGCATGAATGCCGCATTGGAGGACCATCAATACCCGATTCCGATACCCGAGGATATCCTTGCCAAGCTGAATGGTGGGAAGAGTTTTGCCAAGCTCAACTTGTCCGATGCCTACCACCAGGTTAAGCTTGATGAAGGCTCGAGAGAATTGCTGACCATCAACACTCATCGTGGCTTGTACCAGTACAACCGCCTCCCTTTTGGCGTGAGACAGCACTAGCCATCTTCCAGCAGCTGATGGACATCATGCTCGCGGGAGTTTCTGGAGCTGCGGCGTACCTGGATGATATCATTTTAATGAGTCGGACGGCAGAAGAACTATTTCAGCGGCTCGCTGAAGTGCTTGTACGTATCCAGTCATATGGTTTCCGTATCCGTGAGGACACGTGTACCTTTTTACACCAACCATCAAGTTTCTCAGCTTCATTTTCTCAAAAGACGGTCGTCGCCCTAATCCAGAAAATATTCAAGCTATTCAAAAGATGCTCTGCCTGCCGACTTGCAATCGCTGCGTTCATTCTGTGGCCTAATCAGGCATTACAGTGCTTTTCTGCCCGAACTACATCGCCTGCGTGCCCCGCTGAATAAATTGCTGAGCAAGAGTCAAACCTGGAATTGGACGTCAGAATGCGAGACTGCCTTCGAGCGGGTCAAGTCATTGCTGACTTCAGACCTACTCCTAACTCACTTTGATCTCTCCTGGGAAATTGTCCTTGCCACAGGCGCATCGAGTCTAGGGATCGGTGCCGTAGTTTCCCATATGTTCCCAGATGGATCTCAGAAGGCGATCGCACATGCCGCCAGGACCCTGACGAAAGCCGAAAGAAACTACAGTCAGATCGAGAAGGAGGCATTGGCCATAGTGTTTGCTGTGAAGAAATTCCACAAGATGCTGTATGGTCGCCGCTTCAAACTCTTGACGGATCATAAGCCACTGCTGGCCATTTTCGGCTCGAAGAAGGGAATTCCTGCCTATACAGCCAATCGACTCCAACGATGGGCACTCACCTTGCTGGGCTATGGTTTTGAAATCCGGTATCAGTCAACGGAATCGATGGGCCAGACAGATGCGTTATCACGCCTCATTGATTCCCAGCAGCAAGAACACGAGGATACCATCATGGCCTCAGTTGAGATCGAAACTGATGTCAAATTCCTGGTGAACGAGGCACTACATGGTATGCCAGTTACGGCCGATGCTGTGCGGGCCGAAAGGCTTCGAGACTCAATCCTGAAGAAGGTGACACACTTCCACAGAACCAGCTGGCCACGTTCGTATTCATCTGCCGAAATGCAGCAGTTCTATCAGCGAAGACATTCGCGCTCCATTGTGAAAGATTGCAACATGTTCTCAGAGAGAGTAGTCATCCCGCAGGCGTTACAACAAAGAGTGCTGCGACAGTTCCATGCAGGACATCCAGGGCTCAACCGGATGAAAGCGCTTGCCAGAAGTTATGTGTATTGGCCGTTTATGGACAGACAGCTGGAGCAGCTAGCTAAAAGTTGTGGCAACTGCGCTACCGCCTCAAGGACACCGCCAAAGACTGAACTCCGCTCATGGCCTAAACCAACTAAACCTTGGAGTCGTGTTCATGTCGACTTTGCAGGCCCAATCAATGACCAGAGCTTTCTCATAGTGGTCGACGCTGATAGCAAGTGGCCCGAAGTGACCCTCATGAGAAGCACGAAAACCAGCGCAACGGTCTCGAGGTTGCGACAAATCTTCAACAGGTTCGGCTGCCCTGAAACATTGGTGACGGACAATGGAACACAGTTTACTTCGGCCACATTCATGGAATTTGCCAACGCTGCACCACCAAACACGTGCGGTCTCCATCATTCCACCCACAACCGAATGGCCAAGCGGAGAGGTTTGTGGATACATTCAAACGCGCTCTCCTCAAATCAAGGAGGGAGGGAGACATAGAGGAGGTGATCGACCGCTTCCTCTTTCTGTACCGATCTACACAAAATCCACAACGCCGGGTGGAATATCACCAGCAGAGGCAATGATGAAGAGAAAACTTCGCATGTCATTTGATGCAGTTCGGCCGTCCTCAGAGTCCACAGCTGGCAAAAAGAACCTCAAGATGGAACGTGACTTTAATCGGCGGTACGGTGCCAAGCGACGTC